CCCGCCCCTCACCGGAGGTTAAGCGGAAATGAAGACGGATAAAGCGATAAAGGCGAGATAGTTGGTATAATCGCTGCGTAGGAAGTAAATAATTTTTGATACGCGCGCACGCGACGAGCGCGCTCACGGCGCATAACTCAGGGTTACTCCTGCGACGACAAGAAATAAGGGGTCGTTTACGAAAGCCATTAATCGCTTATGTTCCGCGCGAGGAGGAGAGAGATACGTCGGCGCCCTCCTGTGTGCCATTAACACCGCGCCGCGCTCGTAATCTTCTTTTCGTAATGCAACAACGAAGCTAACGGCGCTTTCGCACCTGCGTTGGAGCTTGCATTTCTTTAGCGTGAGCGCGCACGGCAGCACGAGAGAACACGCGCATTGCAGAAAGCACCGTCGAAATTTATCGAGTGGACAGACAGCTTAGGAGCTCGGCGCGGGGAAAAACGGCGGCAATAAGAGTAGGAAATTTATTAGGGCTGCCGCAAGGACGTCGATCGATTGCTTGTGTCGCGTTACTTTAAATAAACGACTGTCGCCTAAAGATCCCGCTTCTTTTAACTAACTGCCTCGCCCGAGTGCCCGCGTGTCCCTCTTTTTCTAACGAAAAAAGCACGATACGGTCGATGTGGTGGTGTGTGTGTGTGTGTGTGTGTATGTGTACGCGCGCGCGGAAGACGATACAGGTGTTATCTGAACGTCCTTTCTCACAGCCGCCGAAGGTCGACACGTCCGACTTGCCGCTTAATTGACACTCGGATGCTTCATCGTGAAAACCACTTTTGCCGCCGAGCCTCCCTCGCGATCATCGCGCCGCAAATGGGAGACACGGATGTGCTGGGGAAACGTGTTCCCGCCGATAATTAAATGTATCACCGTTGTTAAGAAGGAACATCGCGAGCGATCCCCACCTCCGATCCCCCGGCCGATTAGCGGTTAATTACTTTCCGATAATTCCGCGGAGCGATAACATTTGGCTCGAATCGCGGATCTTCCGTGGGAAGCGCTCGTTCGCGGTGCGGGACGATTAGAAAACCGTTGGCGATCGTTTAACGCGCCGATACGATTTCTCGAACCGAACGGATCCGGGCGAAGTCGCGAGAGAGAGAGAGAGAGAGCCAGCGCCACCCTCGCCGGGATCTTCGTTGGCTACGCTCGCAGGCAGCGGTAATCAGCCGTAACTGCACCGCCGCTGATGCAACGCCCTACACCTAATTATGCCTCCAATTAAAGCCCTCTATACGGTCGCTGTAACTGTGCGGCCGCGCAAAAGCGGCTTTAATTCGAACTTCGTAAACCTACCTCACTGTGCTTTGACGCGAACGGGAACACGAACGCAAACGCAAAATCTTAATCCGCGCGGCCTCGTAGCTACTTACCGCCCGCCGCGCGCCGGCCACTGCGCGACGTTCCGTCGCGGCGAGGATTTATCGCGAGGAAAATCGCGCGGTATCGGGTCGGGTAACCTTGCGCGTATGCAAATCCTCCGCTGGCTGCAGCGCGCGGCCGCCGCTCGCCGAAACGGGAAAGACAGAGAGAGAGAGAGAGAGAAGGCCAAGTGATAAACGCGAGAGACCGGCTTAAGTTGTTTAAGTTGCCGGTACGGTTCGACACGTCGACCGCGTCACAAAGGGTTGATCTGCAGCGTCGATCTCCACGTCATCTTAAGAGCGATGCGCTGGTCATACATTCCACATTTCCAACAGCACCCGTGGGCATTACATATCCGCGAACGAACTTTCTCCCCTCCCACGTGGCAGGCCGCAGTTCTTAAAACCCCGGCGCGGCGCCTGACAGCCGACCGAACGGCGAACACCGGGTCCATTCGGAATAATAATAAAATTTCGTTTCTGCGCGTTCCACCGGATAAGTTTCTCGGTTGGATATTGATTTTATTATACTTGGAAATTCGTTCCTCCCTAAAACTGTCAGTGACACGTATAATGATTGTAAGAGGAAAGCCGAGTCGAAATGTCTCGTCGCTATGTTAAGCCTTTGTTCCGCAACGCAACAAGAGTTAAGACAGCAAAATAGGTTCAATTTCAATTCTAATAATATAATTGTGCCCTGCTTCGACCCCGATGATGTCTTACATTTTCGTTTTCGTTTACGTCGTTTCAGCGAAATAACAAATTTTTTCAAAATAGGTTGTTGAAAGTAAATTAAAAGTAAAATTCAATCTGTAGAGTTAAAGGTTTAAAATGATAGTTAAAAAGTACCAGTATCATCAAAGCAGGTTTTTATTAGTCTATAGGCCGTCTAAGTAAACGTAAACTATTCTTAAGAGCATCAAAATAGCATTAAAATTTCAACTAAGGAAAGGATTCGAGAGAGAGAGAGAGAGAGAGAGAGAGAGAGAGAGAGAAAGAATCCGAGACGAAATTTTGGCTCTACGATGTCTTAAATTTACGTTTTGTTTTAGCATCAAAATAAGTTATTGAAGGTAATATAAAAATTCAATCTATAGAATTAAAGATTCAAGACAGAACTTGAAAAGTATCAAAGTAGGTTTTTACTAATCTACAGGCCGTCCAGTAGGCTATCCTTAAGAGCGTGAGAGTGGCGTCAAAATTTCGACTCGGGAACGAGCGACGACGCTTTGGTGATTGCGATTCGATGGGGATGGGTCTGCGAATGAGTCCAACGGTTCCCGCATGCCGGGAGGGTTGCCTCCAATTCGATAGGGCGAATTAAAGGTATCGTACAACGGCACAACGTCGTAAATTTTTATTGCGTGCTCACGAGGGAAGCTCGCGCAGAAGAACGAATAGAGGAAGTTACCAAAGAGGAGAGGTCGAAGAAAAATAGGAGAAAGAAATTGGCCGGGAATAGAACGTCAGCAGTTTCCGACAGCTTCATAAAAATTTCCCCGTATTTTAATGACATAGTTATCCACATCGATTAAAACTTTAATTTACGCTCGTCGGGGCCGCGCGGGACGTCTCACAATTTATCTCTCTCGAAAGATAATATTTCGTCTTAAGAATACTGGCGAGGTCCCGCGCGGACTACGAAATCAACGCGAGGACACGGCGCTCTCTCTCTCTCTCTCTCTATTTCATCATCATCGATCGCGAGGAAACGTCGAAACTGCAGGCGCGTCTCGGAGCGTCCGATCGACGCGGAGTGCCCCGCGTTTCCTCGATATCGCGCCCATCGTGCAACAATTTCCGACCCGCGCAGTCCACACGAATCCGGTTTCATTCCTTCCCCCGCTGCGGATTGCGCCTTCTCTCCCGAAATCCTCGCGTAGGCGTCGCGTCGACGCCTCGGAATTATCTACTCATCCGATATTTATACGGGGAAAAATACCGACCGACTACTAAACTATTAACCGCGACGACGCATCACGGCTGAATCGTCCACTAATTAACTGCCAGCCCGCGGCGTGTCTACGCGAAAATTCGTTTTTAATCGTAGCGTGCGCGTTCGGTCGCTCGCTCGTTCATTCGTTCGTTAGAAGTCGACACGATGGCGGTTGACCAGGTGTATCGCAGACGTATACTCACCGTAGCAGAGCAGCAATAGGTTCATTATCGCGATCTGCGTGCGGCGGCAGATCCTCCTGGTCCTCGGCGTTCTATCCATGGTTACGGAGGTGGTTACAGAGAGGAAGAGCAATTTCACACGAGGATAGCAATTACACACGTGTTTCTCACACCGACTCACTACGTCCGCTCCGATCGTCGAGAAGCGCGTTTGCGATCCTCTCGTTAGTACTCGCCCAGGCTTCTCCACCGAGCGCTGGCGATCGAGGCTTGCCGTCGATCGAACGGTGCACGGCCACTGCCGCTCTCAACACGATATATATATATATAATATATATGTATATCACGATATTATATTATATCACGATATAACGATGTATCACGACCAGCTACTCCTCTCCTCCTCACAGGGTAGAGACACCACACGCACGCACATCCGAACGACGACGTTCACTGTGACGACGACGTTGCACCGGCTGCGGCGAACACGAGCGCGCTCGCTGCACCATTCTTCACCACACTCTCTCCTTCGGACTCGAGAAAATGCACACCGATAGCTCGAGTTTTCCGCGACTCTCCTCTGCCCGTCGCCGTCGGTTGCTACCGTCCGATAGGTGTCCCGGTCCGTGGTCCACCGACGGGGTACTCTCGTCGGTACCAGCCGCTCGAGACTCTACGTCACGACGACACTGCCCGATGACGAGGACGATGACGCACCTGGCGAGAACGACGACGCGCTGCTCCTCGCGACAGACTCGCGTGCGATCATCGCTCAACTGCACGGTGGTAAAACTCCATTCTCGTTCACGGGGCGATAGATGATGCGCGCGTGTGTCTGTGTGTATGTGTGTGTGTGTGTGTCAAAAGTGTAAGTACGGTTATGTGTGGGTGGATCGTGTGTGCACCTGACGGTATTAATGGCTTACTGCGGTCAGAGATTTAAATCGGGACTCTCCTCCTTGTCCCCTCCCCCCGTCGACGGAGATGGCACCGCCGGATGGTTTTTCCTTTTCTCTCTCTCTCTCTCTCTCCCACTCTCTTCCTCTCTCTATCCTTTTTGTTTCTCACTTCGCGCAACTCTCGACACTCCGGACGGGCAGGCAAAAAAATCGGCTGAGTTTCATTTGGCCGTGCGTCGCGCGCAATTCGAAGCCGAGGCAGCTTGGCGCGAAACTGAAACCAGCGGAAAACTATTCGCGCCGTCCACCGACGCTACTGACGCGCCCTCGACAGTCGCACGGAAACTGAACCTGCCGTGCTGCGAACTCGTCGCGCCTTCGTTACCCCCACCGCGCCTCGGAATTCACCCCACCATGGCACACTTGAACCGCCGCCACGCATAGTGTGTCGCGGAGTACTACAACCGGCCGCGTCGGAGTGGAGTGCAACAACGGCGGAGGCGGCAAGAACGACGGTGGCAGCGTCGACGGCGGCGGTGGTGGTAACCGGCCAGAGCCGGATGCACACCTGCAGGTGCAGGAGACGCTGAAACTCCGAGGCTCGGCCGCGAGAGAGAATTCTCGGTCTTCTCTCTCTCTCTCTCGGCCGCTCGTTCGCTCGCTCGCTCGCCTCGATTCCATTTATTCTTGACGAACTCCCCTCGCGAGCTTCTTGCGAAATTGCGGGTCTCCTGCGCTTTTATACGCGGCGAGAGAAGCGCGGTAAAAATAAGTGAGCTTGCACAGGCGGGTATAATAAGTTTACGCGGGGGTAAACGAGGTCGTCCGGAATTCGAAGCTTCGAAAATATGGTCGTCCCCTGTTGCACACGTAGGAACCCTCTCGAGATGAACACCGGTAAAGTGAAGCACTTGGACGACGACGCTAGGAATGACTTCAACCCGCTGGTAATAGTGCATTCTGGTTATCTCGAGAGGGTGCATTACGCTCGACCCTCTTGAAACAACGTTGGAATTTAATGAAGGCGGTAAATTTTTATAAGGTCCTTATCGCCGGGGTTGTGTTTCCCGAGATAATACATGCTTCCCAAGTGGGACAACGGGCACTGAGCGATTTTAAAAACGTACGTAAATTACGCGGTCGCGCATTAAAAAAAAGTGGGAAAAGTGTGTTTCGGCGGAGTAGGGAGTGGTAAAATGATCGGACTCGCATGAGCAGCGGTGCAAACTCCCGAATTTTAAACAACCGCTCGCCTCTTCCCCCATCACCCCCCTCTCTCTCTTTCTCTCTCTCTCTCTCTCGCTCTCTCTTTCTCGCTCAGGGCGCGTGCGATGCATAGTGCAAAATTATAATGAATATATGAAACACAAAGTGCTTGATGCAACAAATTCGCAATAAATACACTTTCAGCTAAAAATATAATTTCGAGCGCATTACAGAAAATTGCGCGATGAATCAAATATGTGACACGCTAGCAATAATGACATCTACATTTGAGCAAACTAATTCCACCGGCAAGTAATTTTAACAAAATTTGCGTAATTCTCTCATTTAAGTCTTGTTAAAATCGGCACCCGCACCGCTGTACCGCTGGACTGACGGAGTTTAATTATTTTAATTACTTAATAGGACGCGCTCCGACCAATTTTGCTTAATACATATTTAGAGCGCCGGGTAACACAAACGTAACCGACTTACTTTCTATCCTCCCTACAATATTCTACGCTTGCACACGTACGAGAGCTCTTCCGATATTCCCCCCTCCCCCTCCCCCCCCCTTCCGATTGATATTTATCGACGTCGTTCTCTCCACCTTTACGTTCCACCGCTTCGCGCCCTCCTCATGCCCTCGCGGGACCGCTGTCGCGATTATCACAACACCGTTTAATCATATAAATATCTCGTATTGAAATTCAACGAAAAGTTCAGAGGTAAAATCCACCTCCCTATTTGTGCCTTCCCGACCTTTACACGCAACATTCGTTCGGGGTGGAAAATCCCTACCATGAGCGGGGCATCGGTGAGGCACGAGCCGATCCTGTCGGCGGCGGCGGTTCGTAAGCGGTGGGGGCTCCATGCAGCGGGGAGGAAGGGATAGAAGGGTGCCAGAGAGCGAACGTTGGGCCCCTATCGAGGGCGCAGGAGCGAGCGGGGGTGCGAGAGAGAGAGAGAGAGAGAGACGGGCTCTGAAGGGAAGAACACGAGGGTAGAGGTGCACGACGGCAGTTTGCCCCCACCGATCCCTGCGGCAGGTGGTTCTTTCTCCCGCGGGCTCCACTCGAGGGACCACCAAGCATTTTGGCCGTCTGTGCCTGCGCCACGGAGAAGCAACGCGGCGAACCTGTCCCGGCCCCGACGCACAATCGGGCTCGCGCAGCCCGATTGGAGCGCGCCGGATTTTTAATGGATTGCGCTCTCACGTAATAACGGACGTGCTCGCTTACCACTTGGTCCGGCGTCGTTTGGAAATTCGCGGCTTTTAATCCCACCATTCCGTCAGGCGTCGGGCGATCAGATCTCGCGTGCTTACCCGATGATGAAAAACTCGCCCCCGCATGTACGATTCTTCGATGCTGCGTACTCTATCTCTCTCTCTCTCTCTCTTCCTATGCTATTTTTCGATATGAACCAATCGATCTCGTCGGCAACGGTGCATTTCTTTCGGAAAACAGGACTCATCGAGGTAACGTGATGAATCCGGAGACAAGCCGGCCGTATCGGGTGAAACGGCGATACTTCGATAGCATTGCGGCGCGGTTAGCGTTTTCGCGTGTCCAGTCGCTATTTCGACGCGACGGATAAACGCGAACTCGAAAGAGTTCCGCGGACATATATTTGGCTCGTTCGCCGATGCCGCGTATTAATCTTCCCGGTTGTTTTGTTTTTCCTCCCGAATAAAAGAGCACTCCTCCCCGCGTACCCTCCTATCCCTCCCATCCCTCCGCCTCGCCGACCCATAGAAGACTCAACTGGTATATGATTTGCATAGATCCGCAATTCGGAGGAAAGATAGCGCCAACGCCGAAGTGAGGTTCGGCTGCACATAAATGGGTTCTTCGTACACACGCGCGCGCGCATACACATTACGCCGGAGCGCGTCGCAGTTTATTTCGACGTCGATTGTAGTCGTGGAATTCGGACGTGCGCGATAGCATAAATTAGCGTTTGATGCAGTGGAGTCTCGCTATTGGTAAACGATAAGCTGTCGCGGAGATTAAAACTGTATTTTGCATTGGCCGAGCGGACGCGCGCGCGCCTCATCATAGAATCATAGAGTGTCGATCACACCGGCCGGCGGTGATCCGGCTCTTCGGTGTTCGCGAGCTGTGCAGATTGAAATTCCAGCCGGGTAAATTCTGGCGGGGGGTCAACGGCAACATTAATGAGCGAACAATGACGACGCGCGGGCTCGCGCGCGGAAAAAAAATGGCATCGGTGTGTCGCGCGTTCGCGCGACACAGGAAACAGCGTTATCGTTATTAGCGAAAGCCGTTTCCGTCGGAGGATGGGATGTAATCGCGCGCCGCTCCCGCGATACACTCGCGGATCGATACGTGCGAATCGTTCGGCGGACGTGGCTGCTTAAAAATAGGACCGGGTAGCGCGGCTCCGACGAGACAATCTCATTTCACGTTGCACCACGTTCCGGAGGAATGCCCCGAGGAATGCGAGCGACACGTTTATTACGTAACACCACTGCGTTTATTAGGGTCGTATTCGACGACGCGTGCCTCCTCGTCGCCCTCGCCCGGTCGATCTTCCGGCGGCCCCGCGTCAAGTTCAACCTTTCAGCTCATAAACGAGTTCTTATTTATCTTCGGCGGATACAAAGCGCGGCTTTCGCTCGTCTCGTGAGAGGCGAGGTGAAGAGAGTTCCCCCGTAGATCTTTTGTTACCACGTCGCCGCGTCGAAATACGTAGAATTTCGTATTTCGCTCGGAACGTGAGCGGATAATACCTTCGAGACGCTCACCTGCCCTTCCGCTAACAGGTCAGCTCTCGGAACTCTGAGACATGGTCTCTCGCGGGATCGTGTTCATCATTGTTCCGTTATATGTTTTTTCGGGATTACAAGCGCAAGGAGGAAGGTGACACGCGGCTTTTACGCGGAATATGCGTGCGAAACGCCGGTCGCGTTGGCGCGCATCGACCCGCGGAAAAAATGTGCTAAATCGAGTGAATAATTACTCCAATAGACTATCAAATTTAACTTGAATTATTTGACTTATCGAATAACTACGTGAAAACTTCGAAAAAGATGTTAGGGGGGCCGTAATACCTACAAGGGCCGTAATATCACCTTGTCTCTCCTCTAATATTTACTTATTTGCTGCAAGTAAAATATTTTCCAAATAAATCATTCAAATCAAATATGTATATATTTATCCGATCCAAGTAAAATTTACTTAATCCAAATAAAAATTTGCTAAGGAATATCGGAGTAATTAATTACCTGAATATAGCACTTTATATATATATATATACATGTCGCCCGTGAAACATGAATGAGGTGTCGCAGAATGCGTCGCCGCGAACACGTGCGTTAACATTATCGCCGACAAATATTTGCCCGTCGCTGCAGCTCGATAAACGTTGAAGAAACGTTGTCGGAAGACGTTAAGAATTGGGTTGCGTACAATGCGATACCCACCGACAGTGTCGCGCGAACTTTCGTATTCCGCGCTCTCACCCGGTGTCTGCGTCGAAGTTCGGCGCGAGTTGTCGACTGGAAACAATGTTGCGAGACCGACACTTTCACGTTTTTATTTTCGCCTTCCCTTCGTCGAATCGGCATAAATTCGCACGCTCCACCGTTCTCTCCCGAACTTCGTTAATCTTGCACGCGTTCGTTGACTTCGACACGGGATTCGGCAGTCATGTCGAACGTGCCAAGAGCCACGGATACGACGTCCAGGAGGGAACTTGACATCTTTTTAGCAATTGGGTAAATTCGGCATGACAATGTCCGGGCATTCTTGGCAACGGGATTCATCTCCGAAACGTTGCCAGCAATTTTATCAGCCACATCGACGGCGCCACGAACGGCGGCCCGAGACTTTTGTATATTTGTGTACAGCTGCGATTATCTGCCGTCGATATTCCCTCGTGTGTTTCACGAGAGGAAACGTCTTTCGGTTTTTGCGCCGCGGGAAGTTCGACGGAAGGGGATCGACAGCGGATTCCTGCACTGAAAAATGAGTTCGGTTGGATCTACCTGACAATGGACGGCCAAACGTGTTTCGGTTGAAAGAAGCGGAATTTGGTCGCAAGAATTAGATTTAGTTTATGAGATTTGCAAATTTGGTTTCCTCCGACCGTTAGGTCGCCCTATTGTCAGGTGGACCCAACCGAACACATTTTTTTAATGTACGACGAGACCGTGCGCGCGCGATCGCGTCGAACAGTTGCGAATCGATCCCGAATAAAT